ACGAAAATGGAACCTTCGTTGCTAAACTACGAAACTTAATGTTTGTGAGTCGCCATCTAGCGGATAGATAATAACTTTCATTTTAATAGCTTAGACTAAAGAACTAAATTGCTGTGGAGTACTTGGCAACCGCCGGCAGATGTCTCTATTGGGGGTACACTACAGAAATACGAAAAACTTTATTCTGTCAGTCACAAATTTTTTCACAGTCAGAATTTAAAATACTGATTTTCACAATTCCGAATGGTTCAAAATTCCGCAGTTGTTATACAACACCGATTTATAATTCATCCTATTTTTATAACTTAAAAATTTCCATATTCCTAACGTTTATACTCGTAATTACTAAGCTCAAAATACCTAGTTTCAATAGACCGAATAACAAAAAGTCCGAATTAATGATGATTCGAAACATCTAAAATTCACCAGTTACCAACAATAGAGAGGATCTGGTGCTCGCTACGCTCTATCGCCTTCACGCTCTAACCTAACCTTTTTTTTACCTGTGGAAACGACGTTAACGTTTTTACGTATTTTTTTACGATGACTGCAGTGAGGACCCGACGCTGCGACGCCCAAGCCGGGCAAATTCCCCACGGGTGTTGAGCCGAGTTCTCACTGCAATCACAGTGGTGACAGGCGGGACTCAGTTCCCTCCTAGCGACCGAGCGTAGGTACTTCCCGAAGCAGCCGTGCCCGGAAAGGACCTCAAGGAAAGGGCCCGTGCTGTCACCCTGCTCATTCGACGATGACCGGCTGGAGCCCCAGCCATGACGACCAACGAGCCATCGTGGTAGGCAAGTGACTTCACGACACTCTCGTACTTCCGCGCCCCGAACTCAGTCGTCCGCCTCCAAATCCCACGGGGTAGTTCCAGCCAACGCGCACGCTGCCTCCGATGACACGGTGTGGTAACCGTATGTGGCTCTAACCGCCAATACCCTCTAAGGACACAAAGGCGTACTCTATTTTGGGCGGTCAGAGCCGCTGTCCTCACCGGTGCGCCGTACAGTGCCATTGACCGGACAAACCCCGCGTACAGCCGTCTCGTCGTGACGCTGGGTATACCCAGATTAAGCAAAAGTCGCCCACGGGCAGATGAAGCGACGATCCGCTTTGGAGAAAGCTGTAAGAAGTGCTCGTCGAAGAGCAACCTCCCGTCGAGGATCAAGCCCGGTACTTCATCTGACCCTGAACCGGTACGAAGACCGAGTTAACCATCAGCGCCGACCGTCGAACGCCCCGCTTGAAATCGGGGCCTACTTCAGAGAACCCTCTCAAACAACTTACCCGCCTACAGCAACACGATAGGTCTATAGGCCGCGACCGAATCGCCAGGCCGTCCCGGTTTCCTCAACAGAACCAGCTTCCCGCTCTTTCAGCACTCAGGGAAATGTGCTGACGTCAAGCTGGCGTCGAACACCTCCCTGAGGCGGTCTGCCATGTGGTTGAGGACTAAGGCTAGCACTAGGGCCGGTATTTCGTCTGACCCAGGGGCGGTCTTCTTGGAACGTATCCATAGAACAGCCGTCCCTATCTCCAAATCAAGGACGGGCGAAGTACGCAGCCCCGTCAATGGCCTCCTTGGCCGGAAACGACAGTCAGAACGGGGATGGTGTTGCTGAAGTAGGCCCTCTACCACTTCCTCCAAGAAGCTGGGCTTGGGCTGGGAAGGGCTTGACGCGCGGAGCTTTTGTTGCGATAAGGGCGATCCCAGAGGTCATGATCGAGACCCTCAAGCATCTAATTTCTTTTCACTCCTTTACTACTCTACTTCTAATCCTCATAACACACCACACTCACTATTTAGGTGACGTCCGGCACACGCGGACGTCACCTCCTCGCGGCTGGCAATTATGGCGGGTGGAGGTGAAAACCCGTCCCGTCCACACGCAGCCACACTCAGGGCGGCATAAGGCGCTGGGAAGCGCGCCTCCGCTCGCCGGCGGCGAATTGGGTCCAAGTGGAGGTCATCCTTCCGGGCCCTCTGTGCCGCCTCCTTCTGCGAGATGACGTCTTCACAGAAGAATGCGACCGCAGTAAAACATCTGTCATTACCGGCCTCCTCCGATGACTGCAATGAGGACCCGGCGCTGCGACGCCCAAGCCGGGCAAATTACTAGCGTGTGCTGGGCCGAGTCCTCACTGCAATCGCAGTGGTGGCAGGCTGGACTCAATTCCCTCCTAGCGACAAAGGGCAGGTACTTCCCGAAGCAGCCGTGACCGGAAAGGACCTGCGTCAGTCGGAAGGAAAGGGTCCTATGCTGCCGCTCTGCCCATTCGACGATAACCGGCTGGAGCGCCTCCACGGCCGCAAAGACAGCACGTGGAACCTCCAGCCGGGACGACCAACGAGTGATCGTGGCTCGGCGAGCGGCCTCACACCACTGCTGCTTTTCGGGCGCTCGGAAAGCAGCCGTCTGCCGATATACTTCGGCGAGCACTTCCGCCTGCAAATCCCACGGGGGAGTTCCGGCCAACGCACAAGCCACCACCGTCGAAACGATGCGGTAACCGCGTATGGCTCTAACCGCCAATATCCTCGAGGGCGCCAGAGGCGTGCCCTATTCTGGGCGGTCAGAGCCGACGCCCATACCGGTGCACCGTACAGTGCCATTGACCGTACAACCCCCGTGTACAATGGTCTTGTCGCGACGCTGGGTCCACCCAAATTGGGTAAAAGTCACCCTAGGACAGATGCAGCGTCGACCAGCTTTAGAGCAAGCTGTCGGAAGTGCTCGTCGAAGAGCCACCTCCCGTCGAGGATCAGAAACAGATACTTCATCTGGGCCCGAACCGGTACGAGGACCGAGTTGACCACGACTGAGGCGCCAGGGGGTGGACCACGACGGGGCCCATGGAATAAGAGGGCCTCCGTCTTATCCAAGGCCACCCGCATGCCCAGCGCCTCAATGCGCCCGACCACCAGAGAGACTCCCCTGGTGGCCAGGCGTGCCGCTACTTGAAAGTTCGCCCCCCGGGCCGTGACCAATGTGTCGTCGGTGTAACAAATTACACGCAGCCCGGGGGGAACATCAGCTCGAAGGGCCCAGTCGTACCCTATTTTCCATAGGAGGGGTCCAAGAACAGACCCCTGCGGAACAACGCACGACATGGGCCGATTCTTGAGATTACCATCTCGGTCCTCGTACACGACGGTACGCTCCTCTAAATAATCTGCCATCAGCCGCCTCAGGTACTCTGGCACCCCTGGCACCCCATGATAGTGGAGGGCTTCCCTGATGCAGCTGAATGGCAGACTATTGAATGCGTTGGCGATGTCCAATGACACCTCCAACAGCACGCCGCCACAGCTCACCGCCTCTTCGGTCACCGCCCTCAGTACAGCGCCGACCGTCGAACACCCCGCTCGAAAACCGAATTGGGCGTCCGACAGACCCGACAGATCGGGGCCCACCTCGCAAAGATGCGGGCAATGCGGGATGAGAGAACTCTCTCAAACAATTTACCCGTCTCGTCCAGCAACACGATGGGCCTGTAGGCCGCGATCGAATCGGCTATCCGTCCCGGCAACTCCTACCTACCCTTTTTTTTTTTTTGTTAACGGGGGGAGATCCTCATGGATGTCCTCCGTCTAGAGGAATGGGCGGAGGGGTCTGTCAGACTCCTACTGACTAAAACCCCCCGGTGTTCCGTCTCTCACCTACGCCGGGGATCGCGAGAACTGAGGTGACTTCCGCAATCCCCGACTGGTGCCGGCCCGCCGCTGCGGGCCACATCGCGTCAGCGAGGGGAGTGAGGTGTTTGACTCCCCTCGCGACTACACAGAGGGGCGCACGGGAACACCTCGGGTCCCGATGGGGGTGACGAACATCCCCAAGTCCGTCTAAAAAGAGGTTGTTTGCTATGCCATATCGTCTTGTATTATTCTTCACTACCATGATAGTTGAGTTTCGTTTGGTGTCAAAGTTGACTTAGAGGACGACAGTGTTATATAGTTTGCAGATAGACGGATGAAATTCAGTGGCAAAGAAATGTTAAATAGGTTTGTCATTAATTTTTTATGTTCATTAATATTTTTATTCCATGTATCGTAATATTTATATAGCGTATATTTAGCGGACAGTCGTTTCGAGACAAAAAATAAAACTTGGAAACCTTACATATCTATATATATATATATATATATATATATATATAAGAGATTTCCACGTATATAGTCACTCATCACGATGTCTCTGGCACCATTAGAGCTAAAGACTTGAAATTTGGTAGGAATATTCTTTTCACCGAGTAGAGGTCAGCTAAGAACGGATTTAACGAAATTTAAAATAATGTAAATAGCAAAACAACGTTTGCAGGGTCAGCAAGTACTATATATATATGAGTAAAGGATACTTAATAAGGGTTCTCAAAAATAAAACCATAATTCCATATAATGTCCATTCAATTTATTTAATTAACTGTTTATAACATAAGTACAGAAAATAAAATTCATTTATGTCCAAAAATTATATCATTTATTGCGCTAGTCTTTTGACACTCTCTCCGGTACAACATTTGAATATTTTAATTTGTATTGCTTAAATTATACAAAATAAATATGGTTACAATACTGATTATACCTACTCTTACTTTTCAAATTATAAGAAAAACATCAATATACTTAGACAGATCTGGTCTGATAGGTGTTAGACAGTGTTTGATGTTAAAGCGTTTCAGAAACTTGCGATAGTAGTTATAATGGCAGCCGTTTAGTGAGGCTACAGTAATCTTCACAAAAGTTGATGTTAGAGAGCTAAGTGACACGCAACTCGCGAGTAAAACTTTTTTAGCTAAAACGAGTACTCTTACCGAGTAACCGGCAGCGGCGGTTTATTCCAACAAACGCTGACCGCCACACGGTAGTAACTCGAAACCAATCGATTCGCATATGACGGAACCTATGTCGCGCCTGGTAGTTTGTTTGGTATATAATACAGTTATTTGAATTATAAACCCTACTGGTAATGCAATACCATTCGGGCCTCGAAAAGTATTTAAGGCAGGGGATGGAAGGTCAGCTCGGTCTGTGAGTGGGCGAACAGTAGGTTCAACTGCGAGTCCAGACCGACATTGAAGACTTTAGTGAGTTTAGCAATGGACTGGCCTGGCTCCTTACGGACTAGTGCCACTCCCGACACTTTCATTAGGTGCACTTCTGAGTCCACAGACCCGCCACCAGTGGTTGCTAGCTTCACGTGGCACGTGACATCGACATGAATGTATTTCTCCACAGCCTTGCCGCGCTTCCCCGGCACGTCTACATATTCAGTTTTCTCTTCCACTTGCGGCAAATCGGCACGGAATACGATGGCTTCACCCAACAGACCCTGTAGACAACGCAACAATTCAAACTTAAGTACAAATACAAAAAGATTCAAAAACAATTGCCAAGGTTATTTGATCTATACGTTTCGTTGGTTTGGCTGGAATTCAAAATAAATGCAATTAGAAATTGTCTGCCTGCCAAAGCGATGAACTCTTACAGGAGCATATATTATTTATATACTACATTTAATTCGTAATGACAATTCAAATTAAAAACGTTCGGATAACAATTTACGATAATAATTTATCTTTCAATAAATCAATGTACGCGTGTGGCACATAGCCAATGTGTGCTAGCTCTCTCTTGTAAATACCACAGTGACGTAAATTATCACAAAAAAATAAAAATAATTTAATCAGAACCATATTATTATAGAGTTTTATGATAGAACCCTTTTCCTATGGCTTCCTAGATAGCCTTTTCCTACGGCTTCGCTCGCGTTAATGTCAATTTTGTCAATAAATTTGTCCGGGATAAATAGTTGCCTAGTCTGCTAATCTAGACTATAATCTATCTATGTGACAAATCTCGTTCAGATCCAGAAAACCTTTTTATTGTGATTGAGTAACCAACATATTTTGAAAAGTAAAAAAAAATAGGTGTCTAATTATTATTATTTTTGATGAAGAATATAATTATATTGAGAGTTTGTAATCGATAAGTAAAAAAAATAATATTTGCCCGCATAAACTTGCACCCTAAGATAGTTTTTAACAGACTTCTGAAACACAAAAGGGGAGGTTATCAATTTGGCTGTATATTTCTTGTTTATGTATGTTTGTTATTGTTATTGTTATATCTCCGTCAATTGTGAACCGATTTCCAAATTTTTGTACTCGAAATGGTATTCTTCTGATGTGGACTCATTATCACGAAACCAGGATCTGATGATGGAATCCTAGAGAAATCGAGGGAAACCCTCAAATTCTAAAGGCCCCGACAATATGTCTTAGCTTATTTCTCTCGTTATATAGATATTTGCGTTTAATAGTCTTTATGTCATGTTGCTGAGCTATTGATGGAAGCGTCCTAGACCTTTAGGAGTAAGAGGATAACTCTTACAAAAATCTAATCATGTATTGACCTTGTTTTATTCTTTCAAGATATTTGTTAGGTGTTTGCATATAAATGCGATTACAAAACATTTAGACAAAATCAAATGTTTGTTACGCAATTGTTTTCACGTTTGTTGCCTAAAAAAATTTCGTTTGTTAACCGATTATATTTTTTTTTTTTATTTGGAATATTTCCCCTTCTGTTACATTCAAATATGAAAGAAAATACAACTCCTAGTTTTGGCAAATTTTGCAAATTTTGGTAAGTAATGTATAAACAATACATTTTCGGGTTCCAATGTAACATCTTACTACCTTATCTAAATAAAGTAACGGACTTATTAAACTTTATTTTAAATAATCTTACATACTACCGTTGTGTAATTTACATTACGGTACATAGTGTTTTCAATTTCGTACTTTTCTCCTCATTACAAACATACGAGTATATTACACTAAAAATGTAAAATTAATCCTTTTGAAACACAAGTTGAATCGAGTTCAAACAATACTGACAAAGAGCCGTAAAAAATTATAACAAATCTAAGTAAAAAAACTATAATTAGTACGACCCTCAATATAACCAGTAACATTATAATAGCAATAGTCTCTTCAAATCTGTTTGAAGTCTGTGCCAAGCCCGATGCACTATAAGTAATACTGGTCTATGTCAGCTTTATATTAGCACAATAAAGAATTAAGAATTCTAATGAAACACGGCAGATTTTGTTAATAAATAAATACCAACTAGATCAATTACGTGCGCAAACTTATCAACTATTTAAGCATATCAAGCATTTAAAATAACAATCTCATTTGAGATGTGCTTCCAGTTTGGCTCGTTCAGCATGTTTTGCGCAGCATGAAACTTGCAGCTATTGCGCTACACTCTACCAAGCCAATCAAGCACCTATTTGGCTTGGCACAGATTTCAAACAGACTAGAAGGGACTATATAAAGAGTATTTACTGTGAGTTTAAAAACGTTACTACCAAAAATAACGAAGTTTCATATAAATTTACAAATCTCTTTGCACCCTGAAGGGTGAAGTCTTTTCTTTCTTAGTGCACACCTACGTCACCTAAGGAACATTTGTGCAAAATTTCATTCGGTCACAGTCAGTGAATCGGTCTGTCAGTTTAATCTTTTATAGATATAGATTTATTTGTTAAACAGTAATTGCAAAATAGTATTGTTCAGTTTTTCTAATGCTACGAATTTTTTCCTTACTGATTGTAGTTCACTTAATTATAATTAAGTTAATACGTAAAGAATAAAATTTTGAGCCCTACCGCTTGAAGAAAAAAAAATACACACCCCATTTCCATTTATCGTAAATTTCATTCCTGGTTGGATGGCACGAGGTTCCATGCCGAGACCTTCAGGATGAGAGTCGGACCAGAAATAGTTTTCAGGTGCGTTGAGTGTATCAGGTTTGAACGTAATGCGCTTTCCGTAGCCCATGCCGATAGACTGAAGTAACATGCTACGACCGTTAAAGAGATGCCGTCTGCAGCCAGCGGGACGCACGCGGTAGTAGAAACCAGGAATGATACGGGGGTCCACGTATGTCCCTGTAAATAAAGAAAGAGTTAAATACACAGTTTTTCACAGCAAAGATTCAAAGCAAAAAGATTTATAAATGATAATGTATTTACCAATGACAGGCAACTCGTATCTCTCTAAACCAACAATACAATATTGGCATGGAATATCTTTTATATCTGCACCATTGACTTTAATTCTTCTGGAGGAGGATTCTACACCAGGTTTAAGTTCGTAACCTTTTCTTAATTGTTTGATACCAATTGCAACGTTTACCACTCGGGATACAGTAGCGTTGCCTCTACCCTTTTTCAATATAGCCACTCCAGTCACAGGTACCAATTTCGTTGCACCATCATTTTCATACCATTCGACTTTGCAAAGGGTGTTTATCTTAATTTTTTTGTCAATAGATCCATCTTCGTGTATCTTCTGCTCAATTTCAATTTGATTCTTCTGTGGAGAACATTAAACAGTTAGTTTTTTTTTCTTTTTCAAATCATTTTATTACTATGTTATCTATACTAATATTATAAAGCTGAAGAGTTTGTTTGTTTGTTTGTTTGTTTGAACGCGCTAATCTCAGGAACTACTGGTCCGATTTGAAAAATTCTTTCAGTGTTAGATAGCCCATTTATCGAGGAAGGCTATAGGCTATATATCATCACGCTAAGACCAATAGGAGCGGAGCACCAATGAAGAATGTTTCAAAAACGGAGAAAATTTATTACTATTGAGAGACGCAGACGAAGTTGCGCGGGTCAGCTAGTATTTTATAATTACGAGTATTATTACCTGTTGTTGAACTACTTCCAAAACGCCTTGCGGTTCGTGATTTGCATCGTAAATAGTAAACTTGTCTCCAATAGAAACTGCCTCAATCTCAAACACAAATCCCTCAGGCCTAGAGTCGGTCCAGAAATAGTTGTCATTGTCATTGAGTTTGCAGTTGAAAGGCTCAAAAGTCAATCTTCGGGCAAATCCACGTCCAATCGATTGCAAGGTAAGGGCCTTGCCTCCAAACAAGTACTTCGGCTTCACTGACATTGCGGACGCATCCAAAGCCTGAAAAATTAAAATTCTAGTTACTTTTGTGTATCAAAAGAGTTAAGAATATATCTTATATTTTTCATTCTGACTTTAAATTTAATTATTCACAAGATTTCAATTAATATACCAAATGTATAAAAAAATACGTTCTTACACAACAGTTACGAATTCAATTTAATTACTTTTGTGAACAATCAGGTATGATTATGACTATTTTTTCGAATTATTAAAACTGACAAGTGTAGTGTTAAAAATGTTGAATGCAGTAAATATACGTATAATTATGATCGGACAACAAAAAAATTATTTCACATTTTAGCATACACAATGAGATGAAAAAATAATCACATCAACACCATCAAAGTAGGATTGAAAAGAAATGGAACATTGATATGAATAAAAATGGCGTAATGCCCTTATGAATGATACTTATGGTTTACCTATTGCGGACATAACATGCTGCCAGCCAGTATGTCACTTTCGACCTGTCGGGTCTCTCCGAAGTTCTTGAAGTTTGTATGTGAGTGAACGCCGCTCTGGGCGGGGGTCTGAAAAACTGGACGATCCACATACCCTCGTCTACAACGGCAAGTGCACACAACCAGTGGCGAATACACACTCGAGTTAGCGGTGCTGATTGTTGATAAGATTTAAACTCTGAAATATCATCAACGGACACCGCTACTCATTGAACCGGCTAATCTAATTGGTCGAATCGATCTGGACTGTTGAATCCGACTAGCAAATGTCTTAGAACTTGGGTCAGCCAAATACGATGTTATAATCGACCGGATGAAATAGCAGCAGCTTTAGACGCTTGTTGTATAAGGTTGCCATATAAATATTTTATTGCTACAGAAATTGTGGACCGAAGAACATTTAATAAATTATATTAATGTATTTCTCAAGTCTTTATAAAAACTAATTTCGAAAATAAATAAATTTAACAACCTTATACATATTATGTAGATACATGACGCGATTTGGAATTAAATATAAAATGAATAAAGATTTATTTAAAAATAAAAACAATACTTAACTATTACTCTAATAATTATCGATTGTAGCTATGAAATATGGAACTTAGTAAACATTCTTATTATTTTGTTGAAGGTCATGTTACAAATATTTTGTCGGTATTGTTAGATATAAATATAAGAATATCACCAATCAGATGTCAAGAATATTCACTTGTTCCATGAACATTTCTGTAAGACATGAAGTAACTCACCGTCCTCTAGACTCTGTAAAGGATTATTCTTGCAAAAATGTTCTGATCTAAGCACAACCGATTTGTTACACTTCTCCTCAAAAATGAAATATTATTTAAAAAAAATAATTTAATTAATTAATAATTTTTTACTTCGTTTGGAAATTGATAATTGTTTAGGTAATGGAATTCCATTAATAATTATTAATGCGAGAGTACGTCTAAAGTCTACTGCTAATGCAATAAGGGTACGATTCTTATGAGTCCATCATCGGCGTAGTCGTCTCATTTACAGTCCAGTGAAGAAATAATTTAGCCCGAAATGATATGGATCTTCGTGTTTTTCCTTTTCGTTTCCGAAGGATTTGCTCCCACATTGATGATACAAAAGCGATTCCAAATAGATTTACATACTAATTTTGCCCATGATAAAGCAACATTCAACGTGGCCATGTAAGGAGTAGTCGTCAATAAATCTATATTTGAAATTGCTATATTTAGCTGGGAAATGTGGATGATTGCATGCACACTATGCACATGCTATTTATGAAATTGCAATCATCTACACTTCCCTTACGAGCTATGAGACTATTCCCCACAGACCTGCTCTTGTGTATTTTACAGAAGTAGTTTGAGAATAAATTATATTACTCATCTCACCTGCATGGGTCTCACTTTGTATCTGAATCCGGTTCTCACGCGGGGGTCGATGTACACGCCAATAACAGGCATTTGGTGCGGCGCCGGAGCTGGTACACGGTATACAGCGGGCACATCTCCCAAAACACTTGCGTCCAATAAAACCTCTTTGTTGTACGCACTCTGACTCCAATAGCCCTTGTTAGGCTCATCGGCTTCCTAAAATTAAAAATTATTCTTAATACTATTTTACCTAACACATTACATTAAAGCAAAATTGTTTTGCGCACCGGCTCATCTTTTTCGTATTCAAATAAATCAAACAAATCTTCGGGTTCATCGCAAACCGACTTTAAAGCGATCATGTTTAAATGTCTAGTGATTACTAATGTATAATGATAAAGTAGTACAATGACTGAACCAATGCCCGTTCGGCGAAAGAATAAAGGAAGTCAGTGCATGCTAGAATATTTTGGCACAACACTGACGCCCGTGTGATTGCTATTACCCGTTGCCAAACTTATGAAGTTACTCGTACATTGTAATTCATAAAAAACATTACGTCAGACTTGTGTTCTACCTTTGTTTCAGAGCATGTGACTCAATGCTTACTTTTAGTTTTTTTTAACTAATTTCTAAAGTAAAGACGTCAAGGAATAAAAGCTTTTCATTTCATATTGAAAAACAATTGTAATGACGCTCAACGCGTTCTTGAAGCCAAAGGAATCCAAGCGTGTATTAACTACAGTATGGTTACTGTTATTAGCATTTTAAAAGATGACACACTCATTGATCTTCACAAGTATGCAATAAATCGATTGAAATAGTCAATTCACGACGTAAAGAAACGTAATTCATTCAAATGAAATAAATTGATGTTTACATTTTTAAACCAGAGCAAAGTCCGAGTTTACATATTAGTGTGTGGTATTTATAGAAAATATCTTTACAGTTAGTTTTGCGAATATGCGATCTTTGCGAATTCCACACCGCCTACGTGTTCTTTTTCTTAACAGAATTGATACGATGTTTCTCATTGCTAGTGTCCCATTTTTTATCGTGAATATGGCCTTGGACCGGAGACAATGAAGTCGCCGCTTAAAGCCTCTTTGATCAGTTGACCTTAAAATAGTAATACAAAGCAGAATAACTGCTAAATTGTGGACAATACCTTAAAAAAATTAAACTGTAAAACTTGACATGAGATTTGTTATCATATTACTTAATGAATTTGGAGTCTAGACATGGAGTAGACAACGAAGAAAATGAGTGCGAACACCGGGTTTATGAACATACACATGACGGAGTTGAGAATTACCTTATAACAATGTCGTTGAAATAATCATAGTCTTGACTATTTGTTACTTACAGTTTTACTTAATTAAGAGGTGGGTAAAAGTGGCATAGTGTAACCCTACTTAGAAAAACATGCTAAACTGTTTCTTTTTTTTTAAAACAATCGCAAACAATTTATGAAGTCTAGTCTTTACTTAGTTTAGTCTATACTTTTATTTTTTAATATCTGGCTCCTATCAAAAACACAAATTCAGTTTCCGACAAGCTACGCCCCCAATTTCTTGCCAAATTCTTAGCGCGTGTGTAAACTTGTGTAAATTTAGATTTTGGCTCTAATATATACTTACAGGTATTTCAATCTCAGGGAAAGCTTCTTCGCCATCACTTTCAATGTCACCAGAAATGGATAAAAACACTTTTGGAATGTTTTCCAATTCCTAGAATAAAACAAATACAATAAGTCAAGAGTAGAAACAATAACTCTTAACAACTCTTGAGTCAATTATTAGAAAAGTTTTAGTAAAGCTGTGGATAATGATAAGAAAATAAATATTATGTATGTATGTTGTCCTTGACTTACTGCGAGATTTTATCTTGTACTGATAAAGTATAGTTTATTATCATGAATAATTTTACATACTTAATCATATAGTCAGCATATCTTTATTGTCTGTTTTGATATTTAATCTTTGATTTATTTAAAATATATTGATATATTTCCCCTATTCATATCGTGGGTCTCATAACAGCCGACTAAGGGAGCAAACTACGCAGGACAACAGCACTGCAAAGAGAAGGAAAACTTGAAACAAACCCTATACGAACCCGTCTGGCCAGCGAGATATAGTAGGCCAAAACCTCCTTTCTAAGGGGAGGCCCATGTCCAGCAGTGGACTATTAAAGCCTGTTGATGATGTCCTTACGAAAGTATTCGCAGATTTTATTAGATTTTCCAGTCGTGCTGATAATAATTACCTGAGCATGAGGTAAAGTTTCAACAAATTCAGGCGCAACATCTAAGGCAGTGGATGCGCCAGTGAGACGAGCACGGGTCAGGTTCCACAAACGCTGCAATGCTACAGGGGTCTCCTCAACATGCAGATCCATAGCTTGGTTAGCGGGCATTTTCATCTCTTCAAATTCTTCTCAAGTCTGTCAACAAATAACTTTATTAAAAACTAGCTGGTGCACGCGACTTTGTTCGCTTGGAATTTGAAAAGCGCCAATTTTTATAAGGTTTTTCTGAGAGAAAAAATAGCCTAAGCTGCTCCTCACATAGATACCTACCTGGTAGTAAAATATTATCAAAATCGGTTAAGTCAAGCTGACAAACGGAGAGATAGACAGACAAAACTTGCTTAAACTGTTTTGAACGCATAGGTACTGTGTAAATAACCGTGTGAGCATGAAAAAACCCTATTAATTTGACATTACAAACAGATTTTTTTATTCATTACATTATTATTTATTTGTATGTATAGATGGATATAAAACAGCATTGTTGGTAACATTGGTCGTAACTCACATTAAATTTGAGTATCAATAACTTTCCTTAAAATTATCCTACTTTATAAGCACATTAAACTAATAATTTTAATGAACATATATTTTTCGATAAGAGACATAATATGTATAATTACCCAAACCTTATTTTCTTAAAGTTACGGCCTTTATCGTGACAGTTTCAATTTGAGATTTTATAAGATTTAGCTTCGTTACTGTTTAGGTTTGTTGTAAAATATATAAGATACAGAATTTACACGACAAGGAAGTTAATGATTGTTCGCTATTAATGTTATTCCTAAAAAAAAACTAATTTCTAGAAAGGCAGATTCTTGAGACCACTTTCACAAGATGCAACAGTAATTTATGTATTTTAAAATTATGTAGTATTTTATTCATATACATATTGTTGAATACCTAGTCTGTTACTTAGATTTGAAATATATAATATACTTAAGAAAGCTTCCAATCTATATTTTTTTATTGTATTCAGCTGTCGTATAAGCAAGTTTACTTATCAAATGAAATTCTGCCAGGTTTTCGTTGTAATTTATACATGCTAGACTTGCCCAGAGCGATTTCCTCATTTCTATTTATTGCAGCACCGAGTTTAAGACAATTTCATAATACTCATGTATTGAGTAACTCAACTCACACATGCTATTAATTTTTCCATCATTCATCATAAATAAATAGAGCATCACTTTATTGATACCTTATAATATAGTCTATATTATTTAGCGACCGTTAAAAGGCCATTACACGTGACTTAGACATGCTTCATTATTTGTACAACTGAACATTGCTGAAGAACACAGCATGTCTATAATTTGTGGTAATTTTCCATTCTTGGATGAAAATTACGTGAAAACACATATCAGTTAAAAAATAACAGTAAGTGGAATTCCCCTATTAATATCTCTTTGGATTATTAATGTGACTAAACAATATGGAGAATAGACACAAAAAAGTTTTTATAAACAGTTAGTTGGTCAACTTTTAAATTTATTTCTCTGTTCCAAAAAATGGCAAGTAAACATTATTTGACCGATTTAGAATTCCATGTATACTTCGTCGCTTATCGCAATGCTAACATCCGCTTTACAACATTCTCTAAAATCTATTAATCTCAAAAGCTATTTCTGTATTACAGGAAGTATAATTATCCGCTATGAGAATTTTGTTGATAAAAGTATGTTAATGAGTACCAGTAATATAGTTTGTGTGCGACCACTTATTTTACATTTATCATTACTTAGAATAGAACCCCAAAGCTGTTACTGCGTGTATTACAACTATTGGGTTTAGTGCCATTTTTTTTTTATATCTAAAATCCCAAAGTTTTATTGTCTGTCAAACCAGTTTCTTAACTACCTTGAATACAAAAAGGGCGACCCATGCATTAAAGAAAAGGACAGGTAGGCCAATATTATTCTAAAAAAAAAAGTTTTAAAAGCAGGTAACCGATCCATGCACCGTGCACTCACGCCAACGGTTATAGATCTAGTGAAGCAAGAAATTTTAACGTTTATAGTTATTTAATTAGTAGAAAGAACATTTAGTATTTCAATGGATACAAATCAATTTCATTAAACACTGCCTCTATTCAAAAACTTATTGATACAGAAACTTATTATTTAACTTAAAATAAATGCGAAAATCAATAATCGATCTTAATAGCAAATCAGTATTCATCTAAATTTCCAATGGAAACTGATTATCTCTGTAGGAACGTAGCTAAACCTTAATTCGTCAAAAGAGAAAGCGCTCAGTGTAACAAGTCGGCCATTAAGTGCTATATAGGTACCGTTAGTTAAGCAGATTGAGACAGAAATAGATTCACTTTAATTGCCACGTTAGTAAAACTTTTTTTGGATTATTGGTAAGGTATCCTTATATTACATTATTATTGTAAACTGCAAAAATAAGTATTCAAAAATGTTTAAAACTTACTTAACAATAATATAAAAATCTCAATGGATTGCAGTTGACAGGGACTCAAGGTTTTCAATTCAGCTAACAGACACAAATCTACAATACAAAAAACTAGTCACAATAGTTGCGAACGTCACAAAGTGAAAGAGATTCAACTGTACTGAAGCGCAGCTTGAACACTACTGAGCGCTTACCCTCGACGCCGAGGTATTTTAAACTTCCCCGTGCCCCCAGCGGTTTCGTGGGCGATGACGAGGATGCAGATATGTGGTTCAAGCGAGATGGCTATAGGGCACGCACCGACCGCGTGCTCCGCCAGACACTTACTCACACAGTGACAAACGGTTACGCATGCGTCGATGCTATTGATACGTCTGAATACGTCGAGGTCGACGTCACTGTCCTCTTTTCTGACCAAAGTACAAAAGGGCGGGGACTCAGTTCTGGCAAAGTTTGCACGTAAACTAACAGGTAATAACCCTGTTCAAACTTTTAACAGCAGCGCCTTGAATAACATGCGACAATGATGACCTACTAAAATTATTGATATAACTACAATAATATGTATATTGACTCATAATAAAAAATACTAATCACTTTCATTTAAATAAACAAGCGGAGAAGAAAAGCATTCCTGACATGCAATTTTGTGCTACCAAAAATGTGGGAAGTAATGTGGAAACAACACGAACTTCGGTGCGATAAATTAATAAGCTCAAATTCATATTGTAACATAAAAGCAAATATCTTTACATCAATAATCATTTTAGAAATTTTGTTAATTGTAAACTAAAAATCGTAAAAACTATAAATCGTATGCAGTAAAAAGTAAAGCATCGACCTTGTTCAAGTAATATGCCAATTTTTTTAAACTCTTAAGTTAATTGAACGCAACTACTGTAAGGAGCATACGTTAGTGAACATCGCGGACATAAGGAACCGGACACATAATATAAAAAGAATACATTAAGAAACCGGTTACGAAAAATAATGACAATACATATTCATTTTAAATTAATTCCTTGAACATTCTAGAGAGAATAAGAGAAACAATTATATTTAAAAAAATCATGTCTGTTATATGGGAGCCCCCCTTAAATATTTATTTATTTTTAGTATTTGATGTTATAGCGGCAACAGAAATACATCATCTGTGAAAATTTTAAATGTCTAACTATCACGGTTCATGAGACACAGCCTGGTGACAGACGGACAGACAGACAGACGTTTGGTCCCGTTTTACCCTTTGGGTACGGAAGCCTAAAAAGCACTTGACAGTAAATTTCATAACGTTTAAGAGATTTCCGTCATCATCATCTATTAACAGCCTATAACAGTCCACTGCTGGACATAGGCCTCTCCTTAGAAAGGAGGTTTTGGCATACTATACCACGCTGGTCAAACGGGTTGGTATAGGGTTTGTTTCAAGTTTTCCTTCTTAAGAGATTTACTGTTATGGTTTTATTATTATCAATATAAAGAAATATTTTTTACAAAATTAGAAATATACCTGTGTCATAAATAGTTTGCTCGGCTACAGCCGAATTTCACTTCCAGGAAGTAGCAAAAAAAAACCAAATCATGTAGCCAGTTGACAAGCTGTTTACTGGCGTAAAAATGGAACCTTTTAGGATTCCTTCAATGTTCGTATGTCTGTATGTCTTATCTGTCTGTCAAGATCCTTTATCAGACTAAAGATCAACTTAAAATTAAATAGACTATAGTCCCTAGAAGTAAAGCCCTAAGTCAATGCGATAAAAAGATAAAGCCTTTTAAACTTTATATTTTAACCATGTTAAAGACATCGCAAATAAATCAAAACCTATCGGTTACTTCCTCAAAATGAAGTTTGGTGAGCAGCAAGGCCTCACGACATGAGAAAAAAAAAACGAGTGTGTTTTAGACCACACGACTGAAGTGGCTATGAGAGAAAGAGAGAAAGAAAATGTGTGCTCGCTCCTCTCCCTCTTGTCCCTACAGTAATATACGAAGCGTAACTCTCTCTCTCTCTTTCTACCTTCACTAACTTATATCTCCCTCTCAATTTCCGTGCGCATCGCCCGATCACACTTTTCGTAACGCTCTCGTCACGCCTTCACTAGCTTCCAAGTCAAGCGAGCGCAAAGAAGTTTTACTTCAAAAAGTTGAAAGTCGTTAATTTATTGTTATACCTTTCTGTTTTATTTTTTTTTGCAATTACCAACTCATTTTGGGCTTGCAATATTAATTGTGATTGCAAACTTACTCGTAAGTTTGTCATTTAGCAAAATGATCCATTATTTTTCCTAATTTTAAATAAACACTATTAAGTGTAATAATTGTAATAACAAAATAATTAAATTTAGTTTAAATATTGAAAATCGTCAAACAAGTCTATCGGTTTCATTGGCATTATCATATGCTGTGTGTGGCCTTAAAATTGCAGCCGTTAACATGAAGTTATGTAACAGAAACTGCCTTATCTAGAAACTATAAAACTCGTAAAATCGATATTTCTACCGTGTTCTGCTATTTTTAGAATGTTTTACTAAATACACTTCAAGGAAAACATTAAAATATACCGAAATGACTAGTTAATTTGGGTTTTGTCATAATAGAATTGCAGACAACTAATTCTTTAACAAAACTTTACTCTTTTACAAAATTGGAAGGATACAATAATACAAAATTAGTAGATAGGTTAGGACTTTGTGTTCTTACTGTACGTAATTAAAACCAAGGGAAACAGTACTAACTGATAAGATAACATTAACTAAGACTATCATTATGTCCAGACATGCTGCTTATGATATTTAGAAATAGTTAAACCTTTTGACGATAAGAAATCTTCTATTGTATGGTAAACTTAAAAAATAAAACTAGACATTTGCGAAGATAGTAGATCCAATAAAATTCTATTGCTAATCGTAAAATCTAATTGTCTCTTTATAATCCTGTTTATCATCATATTAGTTTAATACTAAAAGTTATGAAATAAAGTCCGCCATTTTGTGTCTTCCGTGAGAGGTTGCAGCAACGTAGTTATAAATAGAATTTTCTTGAATTGCAATACTTGCCTGGCCTGGCCTCTCACGTGTACCGCCGCTGTGTAAGATTTCTTCGTCATCTTTTTAAATATCAATCATTGACTTTATATATTATTTACTTTGTATTATATTGTATACTTACAGCAGCCTAAGTAATATCAGTTTTCTCTTATTTACTCAGAAATGCTTTGGTTTTATAGTGCCGTCAAATTGTTTGATTAACCTAATTAGAAAATCAAATTGATAAATGGTGTAGTGTCTACAACCGGTAAACTTGTGAGACATACTAATTCGGGAAGCTATTGATTCACTGAACTTGCTTAATAAGTAGAAATATGTTATACCTAGAGTAGGTTAAAAAATAACGTGTTATGTAATTATATTATAATTCAGTTCTCAAGTAATCAGCTCAAGATCGTTTGGATTTTCCGTTTTTAGAGTTCTATCCTAACTTTTTGGTATGAAATTTTTATTATATGTATATAATTTGTTTGTATGAAATGTAACCTAGGTCCTTATTTAAAGAAATTTCATGAAAATCATGTATTAGTTATGGTGTGTAAGGATAACAAAATATCACCAATTTCACTCCTTTTAATTTTTGGTCATCATGGGGATTTTTAGCGTACCTGGCCGCCTGGCTCCGAGATTAATCGTTCATCTGGTTCTACCCCAGGGCCAACACCATAGAAATCGTAATAATAAGACACAAGAGATGTCTTATAATTAAGATTTCTGTGGCCAACACTGTTTGGGCGGATATTTAATGTTTTCCACTAAGGTGTCGCGATGTGTTTGGATTCGAGTTACATGGTTAAGTACATCGCATCGGACGAGCGACGACTGCCATTTTAGCCTCGCCTTCTTGACAAAATTGGTTAGCGATTTTAAAACAACATAACCGTTACTACTTGATATATTCAAACTAAAAAAAATAGTACCCACCAAATCATATAGTTCGAAATATTCAACATCAAAATCTGCATGGTCATGCGAAATAAATATCAATTTATTCAATTCTGTCAAGACCTCATCAGCACTATCCGAAATTTCACAAACAGATTAGCCCCTTTTTTTCCGTGCGGAAAGCCGACATAACCACCGTTGGGTTATGTCGGACTCGAACCGACCAAGAACCACACGCCGTCTCGGGTACCAGTTGCTCGGGAACATGGTGTACCCTAGGAAAGAAATCCTTGATACCCCGACGTCCCTCGGGCCATCTACGGCGTGTGAATGACCCCTTCAACAGATTTGCCCCTGACATACCATTAAAAGTAATAATTGGTTAACCGTCCGTCTGTAGTGTCAGGCGACACCTACCGCTTTCTGAGAAGTCAATGTTTAACAAACACAAGTTACCAGACAATAAACAATGTCCAGTCTCGTCAATCAACATGACCTCTAATAGCTGCGAAATATATACCATTGTAAATATAACCCATCGAAGAAGATACGGAAGGTATGATTTTCAATAGTTAATTCACATTCTCTAACACAATTTAGGTCCAAGTCTCGCACTGAAGGATTTTTTTCAACCTCGAACGGTAACGGTTATGGATAGAAGCTAGAGAGGCAGTTACATTATGGACTGTTTGATAAACTTCTTTTTTTTTTAATACTTTTTGCGTCGAAACGGGACGGCCTTGATGCCAATGGTATTATGCACCAGTCGACATTTGGTTCAGTGAAGAACATGGTTACAGACATGTATCAATTTATAATATTAGTTGATAATAATAAGTAAAGTCTAAAAACATAGTAATTGAAAAAGAAATAACGAATTAGTTTTTTATTTACATTAAATGAATTAAATTTGAAGTTACCACTAGGCGATGTCTAATTAATAGTATTTCTTTTACAATAACTATGTTATTAGACTTTACTTATTATATTTTTATTATAAGTTTCATACCTTCTACGATTTACCCAATAGCAGTTGCGCAAGGTTTCGATAATAGAAGTGTCACCAAAATTAAAACTTCACCAAACAATGTAAAGACTTTACTTAAAAATGTATTTTTAATCGCTCATAAATAACATCAATTTTTACGAAAGGCAATGGAAAAGAAAAGCAAATCAAAAATACTACACTTTTTAATGATTGATACTCTTTCTCTGAGACATAAAATTGTAAGCTGGGTGAGCATAGTAAAAATTAAATAAGATTCATTTAGATTCATTTCACAATAGATCAATTAGATTTTTGAATAAATAGAATATGGAACTGATCTACTTATTAGGTAACAGATCTGTCATATAGATGATAGACCTTTTATTCAGGATATAGAAAAAAGTAATTAAACTATCATTTAAGATATATATTTACAATAATGTGATGATTCATACTCATAGACCTTTGATTAGTAATATAACTAATGACTAATATAATATTTCATGATTATAGATATTTTAAATAGGATATGGCAGATTAATGACAAATCCCAACTTAGGTGACAGAAAATATTATAGCCTAAAATAAATGTAATAAGTATGTTATAAAAACAGTATCTTGGTCTCCCAACTATATATCATGTAGTTTTCTGATAGAATGGAATGGAATACATTATGTATTGAACTTAAGTTGTATAGAGTTCTTTTCGTAGTCGTTTTCGATGAGAGTAAAAAATATATTTTAAATACAGAGTCTGTGAGCTTAGGTCTTTATTCAATATACGTTATCTTCAACATACTGTTTTATTGATGATATTACATATAACTAAACTGATTTATTTTATTGATCGATATATATATTAAAAATAACAAGCTAAAATTATCACTGGAATTAGATATGTAAGCTGCTAATATATGGAACCTAGATTTTTAAGTACATATACATATATTTATATATTTTATTTTATTTTATTTTATATATATATAATTATATATATATATATATATATATATATATATATATATATATATATATATATATATATATATATATATATATATATATATATATATATAATAAATATATATATAAATATAATTATAACGTTTATACATTTTCTTCAGATTTTGTTAATGTATTATTCCACGTAGTAACAAAATGGCATTTTAAATGTGTTTTGTTGATTCCATTAATGATAACCGTTATCAAAGAATAAACACAATAGTGTTGAATGTATAAAATATATGTAGAAAATATTTGTGACGCAACAAAATATTATAACCAAAACTTAAAAATGTTTCAAAAAAACGGGATAAATTCGGCGAAGACGGCAGACGAAGTTGCGCGCGTCAGCTAGTCAAATATATAAACAGCAAATTAGATAATTTATCATAACTTCGTATCATATATCTGCGAGCTTTTATGTCGTGAAAGTCAAATTTACAGACAATATTCACATAAGCAATAGTTCAGACAAAATGGTATAAGTGTGTCTAATTAGATCAGCTTTAATGCGTTTTTAAATTAACTGCTCATATGATAACGTATCTTTGCGTGACCGATATATATATATATATATATATATTATGTATATTGACTTTCACTTATTATATATATTGCTTTGTGTCCGTTTCATGTATGTTTGTAAAGTCCCCCGCGACACAGGAATGTATTCCTAATGCGGGAGTTGTCTTTTTGAAAAAAAAAGAGAAAAGAAAAGAAGAGATGGGTGACGAACACCATCAATGACAAAAAGTCATAGTTAAAGTCAAGACTGTAAGAACCTTTTGCAAGTAAATAATACTGTTTTAAGTGTATTTTTTGTTACATTTCTGGTTTTTCCTAGCCACACAAAAACTTATTAAAATAATGAAGTAAACGATACTTGTATTTAAATTAAATGACTTTGAGGTATTTTTGAATTGTTAGAAGTAGAAGTCAGTGAATACCCAGAGCCCAAAAGAAGAACTACTCCAATTCCATCCTATTTCATATGTTGGCTTTTACAATTTTTGATTACATTTCATATAAGCGGAAATTATTCATGAAGACAATATATGCTTAAACAATCCAGTAAAGAGATAATGTTCATAACAATCACGCACGCGTTACCCACTGTCCAGGCCAACCATACCGAAGGAAGCCAAACAACCACACTCACAGTCACTACGAGCAAGACTTTTAAGCTAGCATGATATACTTAGAATAGTCGATAACACAGAAAAAGTAATTTCATAAGTGGTTACACAGTTCTCATATGAATAACTCGAAGTTTTCTAAATGTTACATAAATGTTTTACCTGATTGTCAATCAATAGTCATCTCAGACAGACAGATCAATACCTACAATGTATAAAGGTAATGGAAAAAAAAGCGGTCAGGTACGAGTCGAACTCCTGCGCCGAGGGTTCCGTACCTACCCAGATTTTACGTAGATTTTCGCGTAAATTTGTAAGTTAAATTTATCTTAATTTTCAACTTTTTTATTTTTTGGAATTATTCCTTTAGTTGTGCTGTAAGACATTTCTTTTTGACAAATTTCGTGATTCTAGGTCAACGGGCACTACCATATCCTAGCTTTTCGACCCAAAACCTATAGGGTAATTCCGGTTAACCTTGAATTGTCAACTTTTGTTAAAAACAAGGTCTTACAACACAAGTAAAGAGAAAATTCTGAAAAGTAAAAAAAGTTGAAAATTAAGGTATGTAAATTTAGGTACTTACAAGTTTTCGCGAAAATCGAAATTTGCCCATATCTTTTTATCGTGTTGACTCAGGACCTTGATTTTTATACACCTAATAAGGACCATAGACCTCAGTATCTGGTATAAATTTCAACTTGCTAGGTCTACCCGTTCCTGAGAAAATCACGGACGGACGACGAATCAAAAGACGGACAAGAAAGTGATCTTATAAGGGTTCCTTTTTTACCTTTTGAGGTACGGAACCCTAAAAATAACAAAGTCAACTACAACAACAATAAAAAACATTCATCGTTATAAAGATACGTGTCAGATGAAAATTAAAACTGATACCCATATAATCATCATCAATTATCAATTATTAATACTGAGCAGCAGAATCTAATCGCTATCATGAGTACCTACTCATGTACAGCGTGCTGCAGGACTAACCAAACCAAACAGGTGACCATGTTTATAACACATATAAATAATCATGTAGCTT